AATATTCAGCCTCATGGATCACGAATAACTTACATACTCTACAACAACCTTCCCCCAGTTGTCTCTGCTGAAGGCGGTACACAAATAATTTGACACTAAAGTTGACTTCTCTGGGGATGCTGCCCAGGCCAATATCACTCTGAGCTTCGTACAAAGACAGTTGGTCGCCGTCACTCGACAAATGTTCATGGAACTCTCGAATGAGTATGCATGGCCTCATCTTGAAACTCAAGACGTCGTTGAATTTGTAGATCGCCAATGTAGATGATTTATGTCGAATGATAAGCGGTTTACTCAAGGTTGTTGGGAATGAATAAACGAACCAGCTAACTTCGAAGTCAAACTTCGTGGTACTCATCTAACATGAGTAACTACTTCGATTTATCAAAGTGTTATGGCTGCTTTGAAGACCGTATAACACAAAGGACGTTATTGAGGAAATATATTGGTAAGAATGAGTACAGAGATAGAGACTACTACCATATACGCCAGCCCATGACACGCGATTAAGTGATGCGCGTTAGTCGTCCTTGACCTTGGCAAAGAACAATCATCTATTCGATATTCAGTTACCCAACTGCCGGATGATTTGGCTAGGCCCAATGACATTTCCCCTTTTGAAAAGTGACATAAATCTCTTATGTACAGAGCTGGCTACTAAGTGGGTAGTAGAATTTTCTAATTCAACCAACTTCCTCCCTGAAATCATGATAGCCAGTGGTTTTAGAAAACATGCTGAGAGCACAAAGAGATGCGTAGATTTGTAGATCACTAACGTAGATCATCTTTGTCAAGTGATTGAAGGCTTACTTGAGATAGACGGTGATAGTGTGACGAAATAGCTTACTTCGAAGTCACTTTGTGCAGTCAGAACCTAACATGGGTTACCCCATTGTTGTTTTCAGATGCTGTGGCTGGTTTAATGACCGTACAACACAAAGGACGTTATTACAGAAATATATTAATAGGAGTAGGTACAAAAAATAATAAACGGAATATACCCATTATGACATTAAATAAGAAAGAAAGATTAGTTCAGCGAAGAGTTCTCTTTTCGGCGAATTCATTTTCAAAGCTGTACAATCGCAAATATATATACTTATTTTTACAGGGTGATAATAATACTGATAATAAACTTCTGTTATACATGGTGACAGTGAGGTTAAATAAACAAAGGTATTAGAAAAAAAATTTTTTTTTTTTTTTTTTTTAAAACAAGGAAAGTTTGATAGTTAATGGCTTAGATATTCATCGGGTAAGGGTAGCTCAGCATGATAAAAATAACATAAAATGTTGAAACAGAGATGAAATATAATCGGAATGATCGTGGAAATAAAAACAAACCGGTTGGGGGGTACAAGATTTGAAGGGAAGATGGAAGGTGAAGCAGGTGGCTGTAAAAGAACAGGAGTAATGAGAAAGAGAAAAAGATTTTTTTTTTTTTTTTTTTTTTTTAATACATTAAGACCATGGTAAAAGAAGAGGTTGTACCAGTCTCTTTTGTACACATAATTCTGGTTTTTCAAAATGTATGGCTATTGCCTCGGCAATGCAAAGAAGATGTAGTCTAATTGTCTTAGGAAGGCTTCTACTTACCTTATAGATGACCTTGAACGCAGAGTCTGTCTTGATTGAGTGACCTGTGTTCACAAGGTGTTCGATTATAGAACTTCTTATTGAGCCGCTGCCGCTGTCCAACCACCACCACCTAAACAAGTCCTTAGCGTGCGATTATTTGATGTGTGTTGGCTGTCATTGAACCTGACAAGGATCGGTGAACCGTTAGACATTCAGTGAACCGACTGCCGAATGATTTGGCTTGGGCCCAGAAACATTTCACTGGTCCTACACATTTATACCAGCTCGTTATATAGATAGTGGGTATCAAATATTGAAAGACCATCTAAAAACTATCAGATGTATTAAATATTTTCTGAGATTAACATTTTCGTATCAATTCAGAAGTCTTATGGAAAATGTAATGTGGAATCGATGTTTGTTTGTTTGTATCAATATCGTCACTACTTCCAATAAGAAGTGTAAAGTGGGGGTAAAACAAAGGGGTTGTTGTAATGACATATTATTTATGCAATATTGATTTGAATAAGTGTCTTGACTTCTATTTTAGTGCTAAATGGTCTTTAAAATCAATTATTGTGTATGGATGCGTTCTGTTCTTAGGCGGGGAAAAGAGATTTAGTCACTATCGACCTGTTAGTCTAACTAGTACAGTTGTCAAACTAATGGGAAAGATTATTCGGATGACTGTTATAAGCCATGTGGAAGGGCATAATTTTTTATACAGGGAACAACAAGATTTTCGTAAAGGCCTATCATGCTTGACAAATCTGCTAGTTGCAAGCGGAGATTGGGACGTAGCAAAAGGCCGAAGAATCCTTGTAGATGTGATTTTCATAGATCTAAGTAAAGCCTTTGATACGGCCTTCCATTCAGATCCTAAATTAAAACTGGAAAGTTTCGGAATCCATTATAAAATCATAGACTGGCTTAGTGACTTTGTCGATGATATGAGAAAGCAGGTAAGGGTAAATGGAGCTCTCAGTGTGGGGACCTGTAAAAATAGAGGTTCCTCAACGTATAATCCCTGGTCTTCTTTTTTACTTTCTTCAAATGAGTTTTCAACTGTAGCGAAGTCATCCGTCCTACTCATTGCTGATGATAAAGATTTGGAGACATATACACACTATGTCAGATAAAATAATATTACAGAATGATCTCAATTCGTTGGTGGCATGGACTATTGGGTGGTCACTAGAAGTAAATTTCAACAGGAGTGTGGTGATGCAACAACTTATGTTACCCAAGGTAATGGACTACAAAGATTTAGGAGTCATAATAAGCAGCGACTTCGAAACAATGGGCAACTGCAAGGCTGCTGCCGCCAAAGGCTTTGGGGCATTATGAGCTGTTCGTAGGTCTTTCCAGTACTTGGACGAAGAAATGATTAGAGTATTATACCCAGCCTTCGTGAGACCGCATCCGGAATATGGGTAACCATAGTCCTTGTGGCCCATATTGAACTCATTTGTTTGTAATACTGTAAATCCGGCCTCTTCAGATCTGCCCCTAAATGGTTGTTTTGTTATTTAATTTCTCAGGGAATAATCTATTGTTTGTAGATCCATTTATTTCAGGGACTCAACAGTTATTCAGTTACAACGCTGACAAAGTACTGGCTCTTAAGCACCTCGAGTGATATTACTTAAAGGTTTAAAATTCTTTTCCCTTCATAATGCAAAATATGTTATTTCAATACTGGTAGGTTCAAGTGTTTAGTTTAGTCATAGATTGTGAATCAGTCTGTATCGACAAAGTCAACTTTGATTCATAATAAAACGACAGCTATCGGGTTGATGGATGTAAAAATCTCAGTATATGTTTAAATTTTACTAAACATCCCCTGTGCCACTGGCGAAATATCTACTTTTCAAAGGGTTGGTATATTGCATAGTAGTTTGCCCTATGACACTTCACGCGGATAAATATTGACTTTTTGAAGCATCTGGTATGAACAGGTTGCATGTATTCGATAAGTTGCTTCAAAGCATTGCTCAAAGGTAATTGGATAGGTAATTCAGAAGTAAAAACTAGTAAGTGGAAATAATGAACTAGCTAATAAGGTAAACCCAACACGCTAAATCTACCAGTCGCCACTTATTATGGTGCTGCTATAAGCTAGTCAATGGAAAATTAAAAGAGGATCAGATTAAAACAGTATTGGTTCACAAGGTCATTCATTGTTAGTGTAGACTAAGTCAGGAGTTACAGATGTTTTGGTTTGGGTTCACGAAATAGTTATGACACTGAAGATTTTGGATTACGACCAAGAACAACTGTTACTGACGTCGATGCATCAATTCTTCATATTCCTTTGGCTTATCAGTTTTGCTCCTGTTGAAGTGTTTTGTATCTAGTTTTCAACCACTAAAGCTGTTATTTGATAGAATAAAGCGACCTGCATAATTTTGTCAGGTCCTATGTAATTACTATCGATCTGAATGTGACCCATCGGTTCGCATTTGAACGCTTAAACAACAGAAGCGTAGCTTGACAGGTAAATAAATCCCTTAAAATTATCAGTTATGACTTAAGCTACATACAATATAACAAATTTTAATTTGGTGAAAATTGTTACCCCAAAAGCTCGACTTTTAAAATATGTAGTGGAACAGTAGAAAGATTAAATTGGTTGATTCTATACACTTGCAAATAGTTAATACAGGTCCTATTGTCTATGTACTTAACTCACATACTACAAATTTATGCAGTTGCTTTGAGCTACACCATATTATACCTTGTGATACTAATCGGTCAGCAAAAACTGAAGTAGACAGTGAAGTTTAAACCGGTTGGAATCAAAATGTTTTAATCGCTAAACTATGGACTCATATCAACTTAAAAAATTGTGTCCACAGTTTGCCTACAGTATCTGTAACCTGACATAAATTTACTCATACCCGCTCTTATTTATCCCATAAATATTTTTCGTTTATTCAACCGTAGTGTTTTTCACATGAATGTGGGTGCTGAATGTTTGCTAGTTTCCTTATCTTTTGTTTGCCTAACATTTGTCAGTGTATTTAGTTCGTTCGATTACACTTGTCCCAACCTATTTATTGTTTAGTTCCCCATATGTTGTCAGTAACCTACTAATTTATTACTGGGTTCTCTTTGTTAGTCTGTTACTATCATCATATTACTTCAGAGTTGAACTTACCATCGTTATTTAAATGTGATTAGTCTAATACGTATATGTACGTAAATCCTTTCTCATTCTCGATAATATGAGTAGTTTTTTATTAGAATTTAAAAGATCAGTAGCCTTATTTTCTCTTTCATGTTCAGTAAAAAGTTATTTAATGTTTCACTTCATATTTTTATTATGGGTTTTGGTAGCTAGTAGTATTTTCAGTTAACTTTTTACTTTAGCATGAAGTTATCCGAGTTTTTTTAATAAGTTATTTTCTGTCATTTTAGTTATGTTAGATGAACTACCGCATCGAGTTAATTGGAAAGACAGTAATACTACTATTGAGAGTGGTTTAACAAGTCTTACGACTGGTTTTCATGAAACGCACAAGGAAAGATTTGGAGATTGTGTTGGAAGTTGGACGAACCTAGAAGATTGCAGACTGCTTGATCATGTCTCTCGATTGGGTGAAAATCGTTGGAATCTTATTGGAAAAAAACTTGGCAAGTCAGCTTTTCAATGCTCAGAAAGGTAAATGATGGTAAATTATTGTTTTCCCGTTTCGTCTAAATAAAATTTCTCCAGAAATTAAATTTGCCTTACGGTGTGTTTATAGTTCTGAATATACTAAAGTTCATAAATTTAATTCATGATTTAGTCACATTACTTCCATTTTTTGGCCACATTTTCAAGTTCCAATTTTATATCGTAAACGACTATGATTACTTTTTAATACTTTTTGTTTATGAATCTTGTGCAAGCTGACGAATGGTTCCAGTTACAGAATAACCTGTTAACTCGATTAATTGCTTTGTCTTTCATGACAATGATGGGCTTCTACTAGTGCAATGATTAGTATTCACTAAGACACGGAGGGGGGAGGGAAGTATCTGTGAGCAAGTACGTTTTGGCATCAGTACAAATGCCAACTAAGCGATAAATTTCAAACAACCACCATCCATATTACTGGCTTGGTATTCTATAATGTAGGTTTTTAAAAATTCAATTCCCAAAACGATTCTGATTTTGTACCTGACTATCTGATTTTAACCATTGTTCACCATATAATGATAAAAAGCTTTATTCATTGGATAAGACTCCAGTATTATATGATATGCTAACAAAATACTTCGACAACTTATATATTGATTGGAAGTTATTTAAGTTAATTAAGTGAAATTGTAGTAAACGGTTTCCTCTGTGGTTCACATCGTAATTCATGGATTCACATGTACTTAAAATCTCGTTTGTTGTTTTATGCTTCTCCCTAACTCCTTCAAATCGATTAATGTAGTATATTAATGTAAGCGTTTTACTTGTTAAGTAATGTATTAAGTCTGCCTCCCAACCTATTGAGTGTAAATATGCTTCAAGACTGACTTAGTTTCATGCATGAACTATATTGGTAGTGAAACTATTCTGTGTAAGGTACAGTTAATATATACTACAATCGGTCAACCTGAGAAAGTTGTTTTAAATTGACCAATTGAGGTATAACATGACTATCCAAAGTCAATCCGCTTATATTTTTTTCAAAAACCTTGACATATGAGTCTTACATTTAAAACTGACATCTATTTGAAATCTTTATAAAACTAATGCACTCGGACCGATCACTTTTTTTAGATATTTGAAGCATTTACGTCCTCAAATGTTAGGATCCAGTAAAACCTATACAACTCTAATACAACATAGAGCTATACCACAAACAATTCTCACTTCAGATCAAAATTCAACATGGACAAAAGATGAAGACTCAACTCTCCTCCAGTTGTATTTAACATATGGATCCAATTGGGAGTTAATAGCTAATCGCCTAACCACTAGTGGTAGTTCGCATAAAAAGCGAACTGCTGTAGATGTAAGACAACGATATGAAAAAGTTGTTCTCCAATATTGGCCCAATTCTGATCAAGAAAATCGTCCACTCTCTAGTTTGCTGTTTCGTAATTCGCTGTAAGTTTATCTTGTTGAAACAAGTTCTTATTTGCACTTTTCATAAATGTAACCCAGGGAATTCACACAAATCCCCACAGCTAATTAAGTCATAGTTTGAACTTACAGTCTAGTACTTCAAAACGAAGTGATGGCTTACTTATTAAAGCACTCAACTTTTAAATTTTTAGCTGTGGGTTTAAACCATGCTTCAATTACCTGACTGGGAATAATCAGGTTGTATCAAAAGTGTAGTTCACTGATAAAAAAATATATGTCTGTCTAGTTACTACTCATATGTAAGTTAATTTTTATATTGTTTGCTGAGATATTGTTCTTGTTTTGATGATCACAACATAAAATTAATGGGTTTCTTAATATCGCATTTCTAATCTACTCTAGGGAGCGACGTAGTTGAGTATGTCGATCGCTTTACTTATCTTGGAAGTCTCATCATCCCTTGTGGTCTGATGTGTGCGCAGGTGCACCCACTTTTGTGTTCTCCTAAATTCTAGTCTTCTGAACTCTTCATGTTTCTTTCTTTTTTTCTCTTTCCAAATTTGTTTCACTGAATTATACTCCTTGAATAACATCTTCAAACCCTAATCTTCCGGATTACTGCTTTTACTTTTACTACCTCTACCACTATGGGATTTGAATCGATAACTGCATCTCTGTTCTAATGTGGTATGGCAACTCGAACTAATATACGTACGTACGAATTTCTACGTTGCTACTGACTGACTTTTTAATCGATTCATTAATCTATCATGCTTTATAATTTAATGTCATTAGCATACCACACGATAATAGCGATCAGTGGTTGAAGACGGGTGACATGACCTAGGTTCGATCACATTAATGGATATTCATTCACCTTTTTTCTTTCACTACCTATAGAGTCTCGGTATTCTCTCATAAATACTTTTTCTTTTCTAAACATCCTCTGTTGTATGAGGGAATAGAGCAATAATCCTAGTCCCATTTCGGGCGATTATAAATCCCTACATATAAAACATTCTTGTTTAAAATCTGTTTACTCGTTGAAGCATTATTCTACAAGTAAAATCATATGATACATTTTTAAAGTACGTCAAGATTAAATCGTAATTTCATATCACGCCTAACAATCCAACTGTTTGATTACAAAATGATTAAGATTTCCCGAGACATTAAATTGTGTAGACGACAAAACCGAACGATATAGTGTTTTTCTTTTAATCGAATGCCCGTCTGTAGGTTTGTTACAGATTCTTATGATTATATATATATATATATATATATATAATATATATATATATATATATATATATAATAATATATTTTACTGTCAATTCAGTTATTATGTACGTTCCTGACTAAGCACGTATGCAGAGGAAAAAGATCAAAACTATCAGGAGTCTTATTATCAAAAGCCGGATAATAATAGTAATTAGAAATTCGTCGAATGGTTGATTATTATGGATTCAGCTAAACGGTTTATGTGGTCATAAATCCTGATCGACGAAGGTGGTTATGACATGCTTTACATATACCCAACCACCGCCTACCTCGACGAGCGGTTCTTATTATTGCATAAGTATGTTGGTTAGAAGTCCGGCGCAGCCAAACCAAAAGGTGGTATCATTCCATGAAGTTATTGACTTCTAGTCTGAACAATATTGGTAGATCCAGTCTACGTGATAGGGATCCATGTGATGACCGCGATCAGTGGTTTAAGACTTAGTACAGACTCAATCACTTTATCTTTTTCTTAGCCTTCAATCTCAGAGTCCCTTCATACATATCTTTCTAATTTGTCTTTCCAAAACATATTCCTAATGTTTAATCTTATAATCAATGCTACTACAGTATCTCGGTCTCATTATTTTCATCTCGTTGTGCTGACCTGACATGACAACTTAGGTTAAAGAACATCTGTGCCAGTCTCTATGTTGACGATGTCTATCTGTCGTCTGTCATTGATTCGGGTGGAATTGTCATCATTGTACATGCTTAATTTGCATAATCCTTTAACATGCTCATAATTTCATCGAAATCACGTACCGATTAATGTTATACAACCATTGGATATTCGGAAACACTGAATTGCCGTTTCTCCGTAGTATGGGACTCCTCAGGAGCGTGTATTCACGACGACTCAACAGAAGATCAAATCCAAAACCTTTGGTCTCCATTGGATTGCGGTTCAGTGGTTTGGAAGTTAGGCGTTCACGCACGAGACCGAAGGTCTTCTGTTCGATTACAGTTGTGGGGTCGTGGATGCGCACTTCTGAGGGGTGCCCCGTAGTAAGAAGGAATGAACGTTCAGTGTTTCCAAGTTTTCAGTGGTTATTTAACTTCGGCCGGTTCATGATTTCAGTGAAGCTCGATAATCTTGACAACCCTGACAATATTCACAATTGTTTTTTCTTCATTTCCTTCCCAGATTATCCTGGTCAAATTGTCCTAAAAATAACAGTACTCACAACAACACAAGTTCAAATGATCAATCATAATTAGTAAGAACAATCCTCGACCTACCTATCTAATCCCATTATCTTCATTAAAGTCGAATTACGATTCTACAACAAATGGAAATTGGAAAATTCGTCTGACCCAACCTATTCATCATCATGATTCAGGTGTAAGTGATGGAGAAAATATTGATTTTAAATTATAATATTAACTGCTTCAGATAAGGTAAATAGTTGATAAGAGAAGTAGATGCTTACATATCTAAAAGTCACAAAGTTCGACCTAGTTAAACTTATCAGCTTAGGTTGCGTAATTGTCCGGCGAAAACAATGATATACAATGAATTCATTGTATTCAATTAACAAAATCAATTTTTATTTTTATTTAAATTTATAAAGGGAGCACCAATTTGATAAAGTAAAGGGAGAAGAGATATGTAGGTCACTCCCTAAAGATTACTACTTAGTTTGTAACTACTTCAAACTCCTGTCTGTCCAATCAATATTATAACGCACTAGTCACTAACCGAAGTGACTGATACCTGTTGTGTAAGGCTTATCTACTTGATAAACCGTAACTAGGGTTTACAAAAAAGAAGTATATCTTTTAATTTTCAACGCTAAAACACCGTTATATATTGTCAAACACGTTGTTAGCTTCCAGCAAACTTTAATTGCAAGAGAATTGCTGACGGATCATCACTAGATCAGTAATTTTATATAGAACAACACTGAGCAATGTTATTTTCCGTATTGGTCGTTTTTTCGACAAATGGTTTATTTGTAATTCGAACAAATTACTGCTCAAATGTATTCAAGTATCATTTATACTGAATAGGTAAACATTTATCGATATTCGGCATGAATACCACCATCAGTATAAATAGTCAAAGCTGAATCACACTTAAACGATTAGCATAGGGAATAAGACTTTCTTATTGTGTTTTTAAGCATGTTTTCTGAATCAATGATTGCGTAATCGCCAAATTTACAATGTTTTTCTGACCTATTTTTCACTAACAAAGCCTTAAGCTAAAAACACTTTGACCTTAACAATTTTGCTTAGCTTATGGTGTGTGATGTTATCCTGTAGAGGGAAATAGCATCTTAAAGTACAAATAAATATTTTGGATTCATTCAAATGGGTTTTGTGGATATTATAGTAATTTCAATGGTTAAGATCGTGAGTCAGTTGAAGCTAGACCACCATGGGAAACCTGGAAGGACTGGACAGCCGTTTCGTCCTATTGTGGGACTCCTCAGCAGTGCTCACCCACAACCTCGCCCCCCCCCGCGAGATTCAAACCCAGAACCTACTGGTTAAGTGCTCGCGCACGAAACTCAATCATAAACAACTTAGCATATATGTGTCAAGCTAGGTTGTAACACTTTGCATTAATATATATAGCTACAAGAAGTTATTATGAACAATGAAAATAGTACCAAACTATTGGGAAAATCAAACATAAATGAAATTAGAAAGGAACAAATGAAATAGGGGAACAATCTACGATATTGATGCCAATTTACATCTGTATAGTGTAGGAACTTCAATTGTTATTCACTATTATTTTTATTTGTACGTCAGCTTGATTGTTTGTATCTCTTAATACATCTCAAAACAATGTTTGGTGATTTAAAAAAAACGGATGTCATCTTACTTCCTCCCTACTCTTCTTCCGACTTACTCCTGTACACTAACCAGCTTAACAAATCACAATTGGTATTAGCTGGTATATTTAACACATATATCAACCACCTCAGTTGATTGAGATTCACGAAGTTATCATCCATTTTACTAATTCCACTTTATCCATCTTACATCAGTATTACTCATTTGATTGTCTTGATATTTTCGAAGTCATCCATTGTCAAATACATGAAATCTGTATATGTAACTGTTAACTCAAGTCTCGTCTAACTCGACAATTGTTATAAAGACGAAAGTCAGTGATATTAGTTCGATCATTAAAATAAATATGCTTTATTTCATGAACAAGTAAAAGAATCCTCTTTTTTATGTGAATAACCAAACTATAAAAATGACAGAAGGTTAAATTAAGCATTTCCGAATTATTCAACTATAACTTCATATATGTAACCAATTGAATATTGAAATTGTGTTCAAAGCCCCCAAATGCCCTGGTACGGCCGAGAATGGGGAGAGTTGGTTTAAAAATCAGTTCATTATTGATAAATTTTCTTGTAAGATAATTGTCAGCATTATAATCTTGATGAGAATCTATGTATATGTATATCCTATCTCTTTAATGAGCATTAAAATGTTCTTTACAAAATTGAACAAATGGTAAACAGTCATTTTAATTGATTGTAAAACGTTTGATCCCGTTAAACTAAGTGTGTAATAATGTACAGTCAGTCAGTCAGTCAGCGACAACGTAGAACTTCGTACGTACGTATATTAGTTCGAGTTGCCATACCACATTAGAACAGAGATGCAGTTATCGATTCAAATCCCATAGTCGTAGAGGTAGTAAAAGTAAAAACAGTGATCCGGAAGATTAGGGTTTGAAGATGTTATCCAAGGAGTATAATCCAGTGAAACAAATTTGGAAAGAGAAAAAAAAGAAAGGAACATGAAGAATTCAGAAGATTAGAATTTAGGAGAACACAATGAGTGGATGCACCTGCGCCATTGCAAACGATTTTGAACCATGTCATTCAAGGTCTCTAACCATCGGTTGCTATTGTCTCGCGGATCCCAACCAGGTAGTCTACACCTACCAACATGGCTCAGTCCTATTGTTAGTGGCTTCATGGATTTGTGCCATGTTTGGGTCTGGTCACCCCTAGCTTTCTTCCAACCTACCCCTACACCATAAAACAACGCTCAACGGGGCAGTCTGTGCTCAGGCATACGTAACGCATATACACAATGCTTTAAGCCATATAGTTTAAGCGCCGATAGTGATATCACCCGATTATCTAGACCGAAATCAGTGAAGCCCCGTGGGATTCGAAATTTGCGAACCCTCGATCTTTGAAAAAATTAGATGGAATTTAACCATCAAGTCATTACCTCATTGATGGATCATCACATTAAGCACCTATCTCCTTATTTTTCTTTGAATTAGGACTTGTTTTATAGATGTTTATTTAAAATCTTTGAGTACACTCATCTTCAAATTGTTTTTTATTTTGATGTGTACACAAATTAGTTTAGTGAATCTGGTTTGTCGAACAGTGTCCAGTCTGGTGGAAGTAATTCTCAGCAATCTCTGAGGTATTCGGTTGTGACGACTTCCATCAGGTAAATAAAAATGCTCTTGTATCTGTTTTTTTTCAGGATTCTCTGACAAATATTCCTCCTATGTTCAATTTGAAATAATCGGATTAAGTTAAATAGGTGAACAAAAATGTGAATTTTTAGAAAATAATTTGAGGATGGTCTTATATTACGGGTTAGGCAACCGTTTAAAACCTTAAAGGATTAGTTAGTTGTTTAGTCTTCATATAGGGCTTCTCAGCAGTGCACATCTTTGATCTTGTTTTGAGTCGAACTTCATGATACCGGGTCTATCCGGTAGTCCACATTTTTCAATTTATTCCGTCTGCACAACCATCATTTACCACCATCAGTAATAACTGTATGACTGTTAACTTGGTCGAACTCCGCCAGTCATAGCTTCTCACTAGAATTTCAGGAATGCTTCTGAAGATTATATTAAAATGAAATATCTTGTCAGCATTCTTTGGTTTGTAATGATTGTTTAGCTAAAGTCAAACCATCATGTAAACTATCTTTCAAATGAACAAACTCCCTCCGAAGTGCTTTTTTATAATTGGAACAACAAAAACAATTTGAGTTAGTAATTACCAACGTTAATAACCTATGTATAAGAGAAAAGGTTTTTCGTGAAATTCGAACCATCAACTAGATTAGTTTGATACCAATGAAGTTACAAATCTTCACTGGTAATTCGTCCTAGTGTAAATGTAAGGCTTGATTGGTGGTATTTGGATCATGTTGATTAGTTATTTGTAGGTTCTATTAAACCTGGTATAGATATACAGTCAGCTTATGCTTGTTATCATATTTTACATAGACATAGCCAGAGAGGAAATTAACTAGAAATAAACAAAATGGTCTATATATTATTAGTTGTAGTGCTAACACAACATAGAGAAGATACTTGAAAATGAATGGAAAATATAAGAAGACGATAAACACTAATTTGATATTCAAACTGAAGATTTGAAGGAAAGAAAGTAATATACAAAATTCTTTGTTGTTAACACTGATTCTGAGCCCTTTTTTCCTTAAGGTGTTCTGCCATAGACATTAGAGTTATTTCACAAAGTCAAACACAAGTAGTGTAGACATTCTGATATTTTTATGTCCTATTAGCTATGTATAATCATATTATATTTAAAGTATGACTATTTCTTTCCTCCCTGCCCTACTTATTGTTCTCTTATCTACAGTTCCCACAATTCTTTATTATCTACATCGACTCCAGTGGATTTAATTAAAAATGGTCCATTATTATCTAGTCCTGATAAATCTCAATTCAGTCTACCATCATCATCATCATTATTTATTAAATCAAATTCACCTAAATTACTTGAATCTAGTATAAATGACGATCTCACTAATTCTCCTACTTCTTCGTTTTCATTTAATTTTTATAATAATCATAATAATAATAATAATTGTTCATCAAAAACAACCTCTCCATTAAAATCAATTCATCAGACAACAAATGGATCATTAAGTGTTCTAATAACTGATGATAACAACAGTAATAATACTAATAATAATCATTTTGTTATACAAACACCTACAAAAGCATTAAGTGAAGCTGATCAATTATCATTTCATTTAACTAGTCCACCAGCTGTTTTAGGTTCTGCTGGTCGTTATCCTGTTACTAATTTAAATCATAAAACAACAGATTTAGATAAAACTCCAATTGGTTCAAGAATTCCACGTTGTTCACAGATAAGAGGAGATGGTGCACCGTTACGCGTAAGTTTTGTATATATGCGATGTCAACTTTTTGTTTTACTTTATGAATGTTATGCATGGTCTTTTCAAATAAATACACTGACTGAGTTCATAGAGAAACCTTTGTTTACAAAAACTAAGATATTCCAGTCTTAATCACTTTCAAGTTGTGACAATAAATGTATTCTGTCTCCATTTCTATTGTCAAAAATTAGTACTTGGAATTCTTACAAGTTAAGCGCTTTTTCTGCTTTATTTTAGTTTCTCGTTTTAACATCCTATCGTCAGCTTCTGCATAACCGTTTCGCATTTCGACAACAATAAGTAATCTTTTGGAAGTGAGTCTGGTAAATAGAATGACTTGATCTAACTTTTAAACCTAAGTGTCTTACTAAAACCGTGTGCATAGACGATTTTCCCAAATTTGGTTTATCGAAAATCATTCGGAGAATGAATCAGTATTCGGAAACCATAGAAATATTGTACATATTCAGTGTTCTCATCAACGTAAAAGATCTACTGGCTGATTTTTCGAGGCTAGGGCCAAGGAAGTGTGATCCTTGACCTTAAGTTTCTACGAGTATGATTCAAAAGGATTTAACATTTCATTAAATATTTCATTTGTTTTTTGGTGTACGTTTGTAAGACCTAATTATCGGGATCGTTGAAGCAAAACAATCGGTTGTAGATAATGGATGTATGGATAAATATAAATTTGTTCATTTAAAACCGTCTTCAGGCACAATGCTATTGTTCACTTCATGTTTGTAAAGAAACTTCAATCTGCCTCTTGTTATATACGTTTAGGGATTAATTTCAGTTAATTAATATTACTGTCGATCATTTAGTGGTGGTTATTGTAAAGAACTTTACAGTTCACTAACACTGACAGTTGAACTCCATGTGGTAGTAGAACAGCATGTGGATTATGTTCACTTCAATTGATTTAATACAATAATTTATATGCTTAAATAGACTTTATTGTCTGTTTATCCTCATTAATAGAGTCATGGTGAAGCTGCGTAGTTTAACTGTGACTTAGTTTATTAACCCAGTTTTTATAGATTACATATTTACTGATATATTGTGTGCTACTGAATTACTTTTTATTCATATTTCAATGCTTCAGCGACCACTCTGTACCAGGTTGTTTGATAATATTCCAAATAATACTTCTCTTCCTTCAACGTCACTTTCTTCATCGTTTACAGTTAGTAGTACTAATCGTAATAATTTGTCCGAGAAAACTTTCTCAACGTTATCCTCTTCAACAACATCATATAATTCCTGTGATGAAGCTAAATGTATAGCTATTCTTACAGCCAAAGCAACTGTTTGGAATCGAGCACTTTTACCAACCACTTCTACGTCAACAACTGCGACATCTTCATTGTCAACATCTCAAAAATCTCATCTTTCTTATTTTACTACGAATAATAATAATTGTAACAGATTATTCAATGAGAATGAATACAACATGAATCCATATCATTCTCTTAACTTTTCAATTTCTAAAGATACAATGATGAATTATCATAATAATCTATATCCTTATAAATCATATTCTCAAACAATTAATAATCATAATAACTTTAATCCTCCATTAAAACCATTAAAATTTTCTGCTAGAAAACAACCTCATTTAACACTTCGACGTATTGTACAAATTGCTAATGAAGTAAGTTTGTATAATAGAAAAAGTCAAATCTGTTGTGCATGAAATGCAACTTCATTATACAATTATGTATTTTCACAGATTGAAATCATGAGTCAGTTGAAGCTAGACCACTATTGAAAACCTGGAAGCACTGGACGGCCGTTTCGTCCTAGTATGGGACTCCTCAGCAGTGTGCATCCACGATCCCGCACCCCGCGGGATTCGAACCCAGGATCTACTGGCTTCGCGCGCGAGTGCTTAACCATTAGACCACTGAGCCGGCATCCAACGGTGTTAATGTCTAACTCCTGATAATTATGTATTTGACTAACAATTAACATTTTCATCCATTTTTAAAATGGACTATGAAATGTGATGAGTTTTAAAGTTCTCATCTGACACCAGACCTCAATATTTTGGAAATACTGTTGTTGTTATTGATAAAATGATTTTTGTTTGAGTGTAGACTAACCTTACAATTAATACTTTTCCAACCTTATTCAATAAACATTCAAATAACCGTTCTCAGTTTTTATTTATCAATTTTCTCGATAGTCTTCTGAAATATATAGTTTCAATGCAGTTGTTTGGCTTGATTATCACAACACAACGTTGTCGAGATATATTGTCGGAAACACATTTTCTACTATCCCAAAAACTATTCATGTCATATGACTGGCTGACTATTTATTTATTTATTTATTTATTTGAACACATAAATATTGGTACAAGAGAGCGCCAATATATATGCGCCACACAAAACAATGAAAATTCGAAGAGAAATAGAAAGAAAAAAAAAACTAGGGAACGCAAAAGAAAAAGAGAACAATGACGAAGAGATTGGAGTAAGGTAGTGTGGTAGTAACGACGGAACGAAAAGGTACAATCAGAAGAAATCTTTCAGGTAAAGGAGACACAACCACTTTTTAGAAAGAAAGTAAAAGAAGGTTACAGCAGGATCGCCACTGGCTTCTATTCTGAGCCATATCTGATAACGTCTCTAGCCACTGTGTAGCACCATCTCTCGGACCCCAACCAGGGAGTCGTGAAGGACCAACACAAGCCAGTCCTTTGCAGCTTTCTTTCATGCCACGACACCATGTCATGCACTGACCACCTCTCCGCCTCTTCCAACCAGTCCCAGAGTCGGCAAATAATGCACGACGTGGAATTCTCTGGGACGACATTCGGAGAACATGTCCAAGCCACCGAAGTCGGTGTTTCAAGATGGTGACACCAATTGAGTTATCATCTCTGTGCCCGAACACACGATGCCGAACCTCTGCATTACTGACATGGTGTTGCCACTGAATGTCAGCAATCCTTCGGAGACAGCGATGATCGAACACAGAGAGTCGTCTAACGTCCTCAACTCGGAGAGGCCAGGTTTCACAAGCATAGAGCAAAACTGCTCTCACCGACGCGTTGTAGATCCGACCTTTTACAGCCAGACTAACATCACGAAGGCGCCAAAGGTGGCCCAGATTGGCATAAGCCGCTCTGGCTTTCACTATTCGTGCATTGATCTCATCACTCACACCCCCACCAGCACTTATGCAGCTACCCAGATACACGAACTTCTCAACTACGTCTATCTGCTCACCGTCCAGGGTGAGTACAGGATTAGAATCCTGCCAGTCTTGTAGAAGTACTTTGCACTTCGAAGGTGCAAAGCACATACCATACCTACGGACACTGATTGCCAACTGATTAAGTGCGGATTGCATGCCTTGGGCATTATCGCACAGTAAGACAATATCGTCCGCATACTCAAGGTCGAGAAGTCTTTCTCCAGGCAACAGATCCACACCACCATTACTTACATTCATCAGAGCTGTTTCCAGAATGTCATCGATGGCAAAGTTGAAGAGGAATGGTGAGATTGGGCAACCCTGCCTAACCCCACTGCTCGAATGGAACAATGGAGAGAGGTGGTTGTATGCCCTCACTCTGCCTGAGGTGTTTTTATACAGGGCTTTCAGGATGTTAATAAACTTCTCAGGCACACCCTTCTTCAATAGACAATCCCAGAGAACAGTCCTGTCCAACGAATCGAAGGCAGCCCTGATGTCAAGAAACACTACGATTGTTGGCCTTTGAAAAGTATGGCGGTGTTCTAACATTTGGCGGAGGGTGAAGATATGATCAATACATCCTCGACCAGAACGAAACCCAGCCTGCTCCTCGCGAGTCAATCTTTCTCGGGTTTTGAACAACCTACGAAGAATGACGGAAGCCAATAGCTTGGACGCAATCGGAAGTAAACTTATCCCCCGATAGTTGTTACAGGAACGACGTGAACCCTTTTTAAAGATAGGGACAACTATCGACTCATTCCATGACGTTGGTACACACTCTAGTTCCCAAACCTTTGTAAACAACGTCGTCAATTCCTTAGTCAAAAAGTCACCACCATCTTTAAAAAGAGCCGGAGGTAAGTCATCTGGGCCAGGTGATTTGTAACGCTTCAAGAGTTGGAGTTCCTTGCGGACTTCCTCCTCATTTGGTGGATCAGTCGTCACCGGCCATGGAGGGCAGGACAGTCTGACCGATGTTGCCGGAGCAGCAGGCCAGTTGAACTGCCCTTCGAAAAATTCTGCCCATCGTCCAAGACGTCGATGGATGTTAGTGATTGGCATCCCATCAATATCATACATGGCCCCTTAATGCCCTGGTAAGGCCGAGAGTGGGAAGGGCCCGCCCTCCCCTTCGAATTGCTCTCACACGGCCACCCGTATATAGCCTCTGCCAGGGAAGTCCTATTCACTGCCTTCTCGTGGCAGGGGTGTTGTTTACGGAATTGAGAAGACAAAAAGTGAATATTCGGCGCTTTAACCGGGTTGGTGGATACGGACAGTCCACCTAAGGGAGTTGGAAAACCCTCATTCGAAACGAATGGTGCACTTGAACTCCAGTATCCTGAGGGAACAAATGGCGTATGAACCAATCGTTCGTCATCGGATACCATAGGACTGAATCTCCTTACGATGCTCCTCTGCCTTGTGAGTCAGACCTTTAGGTCGAAGCCTCTGGGTGTGGTTCCCTAAGAAAATCACCTGCTTCGATTTGAGCACCCCGGCAGTATCACAGCCCACACACAAATAAAATGAAATGATGATATCATACTTGTTTAGTAATAATTCATCTTATTTATTTTGAAACTAATCGTTTGTTTTAAATTCACTTAGTGTTGTTTACTTGTATCTTCCCATTGTTATTTAGGTCTGAAATTGATCAGTCTCTTGTTGGCCTGTGACCTAAGGCGATATCGAGGCGGTCCGCACAGAATGCTGATAAACCAACAAGAGACTGATCAATTGCAGTCCTAAATATGAATAGGGAGATAGAAGTAAATAACACCAAGTGAATTTAAAACATCACTCGATTACACAAGTAGGTGGCTATCAGAACTCAGTAGCTAAGGGGATTACATGATGGCGTTTGAAGCGAACAGTACTTGGTTCGAGTCCCCAGAGTGAACATGAACTCTGGAATGCAAGTACATCCAGCTGACAAGTTCCAAACAGGAAGAGACGCGCATCAAACTGGATTTCACTCCTAGACACTATCCATCTTTGCTTATATTCGTTTGTTTGTTTAATAAAAAAAAGAATTTGCTAATTAGTATTACTTATCTAATGCATACATATTTCTTTTAAATCTTTCAAAGGATGATTGGCAAGAAGTTGCTTATGGTAATAGCTATGCTTCTCAAACATTAATTCGACTAGCTAAATCATTTACGAATAATTATCAACAACAACAATCTATTAGTGAATTAAATGATCTCTCATCTCATTCATCATTATCTTCACCATTATTGCCTATAATAAAGAGAACAATATCAGAAGAATCAATTAATCATTATTCAATTGATCATCAAGATTGTTTCTTGGAACTAGAACAACCGATGGATAATTATTAATGAGAATTATTCTCTTTTTATCTTTACTTTATTTACTTCGTTTTTAATACAGTATATTTTAAAGTGTGACAACTCGAACTAATGTACGTACGTACGTACGAAGTTCTACGTTGTTACTGACTGACTGATTTTAAAGTGTGACAAATACAATCCCAATTGGGTTATATATATATATATATATATATATATATATATATTTAATAGTTTCAACATTCTCGTTTCATTTTATTTAACAGTGGATTATTAATTTGTAATCATATGTTAGTTGGTTAGTAATAGGAATGAGTTTTTTTATTCGATTTGGTCAAGAAAGAATTTTTGTTTCATTTCAGTCTCTTTTTTTTCCTCATATTCTCCCATACCACTGATTACTACAACTCCTTGATCTTTATCTTATGATGATATAGTACTGGTATGAAAAACAAAATGTTGTACTGTACCATTTCAAGTTCAATCACTCTTTCATGTCTACATACTTTTTACCGCTATTGCTACTTTTCTTGAGAATTGATACTTATCATTTGAAGCTGGTTTAAAAATAACCACCATTTCTAGTTTTCTTTCTTTGTTTCTTTATTATCATAAGTGATCAGATGGTATCAATTCATGTGAATGAGTGAATTTACGATGTTAATGTTAATTAGGAATCAAATGGATTTGATCTGAAAGTGTATATATGTGTGTCGATCTATTCGATTTCACTTCAATCTCTATTATCATTATTCTTTAGTCATGATCTTCATAGTTTTATATGTGATTTTCACAGGAAATCACTTATCAATTTAATAGACTTATCATATTATAAATATGTATCATTTTTCATCCTTATTCCGAGTGATTTATATATACTATTGAAAAAAAATTTATCATATTACTAACAACACTACTCATATTAGTAATATTCATCGTATTATTTACACATTAACTAGGTGGTTTTTCTTCTCCAAACTAAGCAATTATGTGATATTCATTAAACATATATATATATATATATATATATATATATATATATATATATATATATATAATTATGAATTCATCTTTGTTTATTGTTACTCTTCACTATGAAATAACTATAGGTGTTCATTATTCTTTTTTCTCATACATTCACTTCTTTAATCTTATGTTATATTTCCTCCTGTTCTTCTTCCTCCTCCTTCTTCTTCCTCTTCTTCTTTTTCTTCTTCTTCCTCTTCTCCTTCTTCTTCCTCCTCCTCTTCTTCTTCTTCTTCTTCTTCTTCCTATTACTGTTTATCATTTCATTTTACTTGTAATTCTTATATGAATCGTATGAAATGTGTTACATTCTAATGTAATTTATCATAATTCAAATGATTCATTCTCTATTCACAATAATCTTTCTTTATGTTGTGTATACACAATTCATGAACATGTTGTATACTTTTGTGTTCTTCTTCTTTTAAAATCTAATTATAATAATTACATAACAGTGTGTTTTTTGTTTTGTTTTGTTTTTATCTCTTCTATCTATACCCTTATTGCATGATAAACTAGTTACAATACAATATAATTATACTCTAACCTATATGTCATTTAAGATTATTAACTCATTTATCTCGATCATCTTGTTTTAATGCTTACTTTATAAATAAAAGTCAATTTTATATAAAACACAATGTTATTACTTATTTATTGTTTGTTCTTTGTTTTTCTTTGATGATGAATTGAAATGGATATGGTTTGTTGTTCAAATGGTGATGATTGTGATTTTGTGAAATATTGTTAAGTATAAAATAGGGTACTATTACAACAACAACTACTACTACTATTACTCATGGTTGTTCAAATCAAATTGATGGTATAGAGCTGGAGTGAAGGGGTGGGAAACCTGGCAAAAACATTTTTACGTATTTTGGTTATAAATCTTTATGTAGTGTAATACAAAACGATAGATCGTTGAATGAGGTGTTTGTAACGGGTTTTCTAAGTAAACCAAATCACCCTTCTCACTCTAGCATAAGAGTTTATTATTTACTTATTTGAACACATAAATGCTGATAAAAGGTGACACCAGATATATATGCGCCACACAATTCACGTGATTTGTGTGTGGTCTGTGATACTGTCGGGGCGCTCATGCCGAAGTAGGTGGAGCCTTCGACCTAAAGATCTGGTCCACAAGGCATTGGAGCATCGTAAGGAGATGCAGTCCCATGGTAGCCGGTGACCAACGATTGGTTCATACGCCATTTGTTCCTGCAGGATACTGGAACCCATGTACACCATCCGTTTGGAATGAGGGTTTTCCAACTCCCCTAGGTGGATTGTACGTACCCACCAACCCGGTTAGTCCACCGGACATTCGCTTTTTGTCCTCTCAATTTCGTAAACAACAGTGATGCCACGAGAAGGCAGTGGCTTTATACGCATGGGTGTGTGAGAGCGGACTCTCGGCCATACCGGGGCATAAGAGTATGTTTGAAAAAGGTTAGGAGATGGCTATACCAAAGAATAGTGTCAGTTCATGAATTCATTGACTACCAGTGTGCATTGTATCACGAAATGTAAAGTTCTTGGTTAAAGTTCACGGAGCTGTAATAAAGCGATGTATAAATACATTAAAAATGATGTGTTAGTACAAAAACATCGGTCACTTATTATGACCCATATAAACCTTCCTTGTGTTTTCAGAAATGAATTTTTGTAGTGGAGTAAGCTTCTATGGTTTCGCTCATCCCTCCCAAAAAAAACTAATCGGAATGAACAAGTGAAAGGTGTATGGTGATAGATTAAAATTTTGTGGAGAACTGCTATAATCTGGAAAATACTAAGCAAAACTGCAACTTTAGAACTGTTCTACCTGATGTTATTATTTAACTTTTTTTTCTATCTAACTAATATAGACTTGGATTATTGTATCTTTGTATTCCCTTCCTTGTAAGCTGTCGTTTAGCAACACAAGCTATTGTTGTGTTAAAGTTTTTGTTAATTACTAACATACCTATCACATTGTTCTCTTTCATTCATTGCGTAGTTATGCCTGTATTGTAATTTTTTAATTATATATTGATGTGTGGTGATAATTTCACTTTTTATTGACTGTTGAGCCATAAGAATGAAATGCATGATTATACATTTCCTAATTTCTATGTTGTCCTTTGTTCTAGTTATCGGACGATCGGGCTCTGTAGAACTACTTTCTAGATCAGTAGTCTCTAAATATTGATCTCAGCTGTTATCTCACTATCATCATATCATTGGTACTAGATGGACAATCTAGGGGAAATAATCAATATTCAGACCACATCATGCAGGCCCAAACATAACCCTAGCATTTGTTTTCCTTCAGTAATATCAAAGCAAACATGAGTGTTTCTGGATCCTATTTAACACCTCTTATGTTTTATAAATCTAAAAAAGAATAGGGCTAATCGTAGTCAGTAGTATTGTAGTGAATGAGAACTCAGTGGGGAAAATCAATTTACTATTTCATGCAAAATTACACAATGCCTTGGCAAAATGTAAAAACCATACATTAAATACATTATTTGAACATCTTCCTTCACTTGTTCTGTATGTGCTTCATGAGTCTTCCAATTTGTGTCGTTATTACAATTGCTCTCGAGGTGTACGTTCAGGTCATGAGCGAGTATTTGATCTTGTTTTATTAATTCCTATTTTATACTCATTAATGTGATCAGAGGACGTAAAATGTCGAGAAATCGATTAATTAGTTGAATAACTCTGCCATACAAAGTCAAGAAGATGTGTCAAAACATAACCGTTTATAAACTTAGTCGTTCATGTGTGATGTGTAACGTAATTTTGGATAACTGAGCACACTAAGGTCAGCCTGCCTAAACTAGACAGGAGTATTTCCATTTACATATTGTCTTTTTCATCCTAATACCACAGATAGAACGGGTGAATTCGTGGGAAAAGAATACTGAGTCTTGTATGCTTTATCGGTGTACAGCCTTGATAGTTTTATACCACATAAAACCTTCATGTCTTCTGAAATCAGTGGCTCTGTAACAAATGTGTAGTGAAAATTGTCCCGCCCTAAACTAATGAAATCTCCACAAACCATTTCATTGAATGGTACTTTTTACTTCTAAATCTTTCTATTATGCAGTTTTTCATGAATTTAAGTTGAAAATTTCACAAATTAAGGATACATTTAAGAATCCGTCTTCAGAAGTTTATATTCACTACCGTATACTTAAATCAGTGACCTAACTTGAGATCTTGGTGTTTTATAATAGGCACAACATGTGTAGACTACTGAGATGATCAAAACTATGACGAAGGGTCTTTGATTTCTAACATTTATGCGGAATAATTGCCCTCATCACTTCTAGTAATTTTAGCATAATTCAGACTCTGAAATGTTGAAGTCTTGGTGATATACACTTTAGAAACTGAACTTCATTGTGAAATGACACAACTGAAATACAATGGAAAATAACAAAGCACTGAACAATTGTCTTGATTTAGTTTATGACTTTTTAATGTGTCACGGTTACAGCCTAAAATCTTCTAATCTGATCACCTGGTTGAGGTTCGTTGGATGAGATAACTCGAAACTAATCTGAGTATCATAGATGAATTTACTTTGTGTTATTTTAACTCGTAAGTTTCAATAGTTCTTCATAGATGTCTTTACGGACTGTATTTGTCAGTATTTTGTCTTTTCTTACTACCGTTCCTACCGCAGTTGTCTCTACTTTATTAATTCGTTTCCTTGTGCTGGTGTGACATTACAACCTGTATGTTGATTGTTTGAGTTCTTTTTGCTGTCGGTTTCGTTTGGTGACATAAACTTTCTCCAAATAGAATTAGTCTGGACCAACTACACAATTATGAGTATTATCTAATCATACTTTTTGCACTGCATAATGATGATATTAATACTACTAATATGGAATTTGAATGGTGGAGATTTGTAGCTCAGGTGAATGATTTAGATGGAGTTTTGTTCTCTGAGCTAGATGGTTTGATCGTGAAGCTTTCATCATTCTTCTGAACGACATCATCAA